TCTTAGTTTGTGACAGGCTGATACATATCTTGCTGCTGTGGGGATCTAATTGTATTTTTGATCATGTAGAAGACTCTCGGTGCCTTTGCTTTCAGTTCATTTATTTATTGTTCGTCATTTATCTATGGCGCCAGCCTCAGCACCGCATGCAGAGCGCCGTCGTCCGAAGATGGCCCTCGAGCTGAATTCGCCGCCTTTGTGAGGTCTGCTATAGAATTTGTGTTAACATTTTTAATAAAAAGTTTTTGGATAAAATAATTGATACTCCTTGGCGTGAGATGCTTAATTTAAATGAGTATGAGAACACACAATTAATCAAATTTGAAATAAAATTTAAATGAAAATATATTACAAAAATATTTAATAAATAAAATAAAATAGGAATAGATTAAATAAAAACCTTTAAAAAATGATAATGTCCTGGCAGTAACTCAAATAAAGTTGAAGTTGAAGTACTAAAATTACTAAAACTAAAACTGAAATAAAAAATAAATTCAAGATAAAAAAAAAAACTAATAAAAATGAATGAAATGAAAATGGAAACTCGAGGTTACAATCAATCTCACAAATGAGCTAAAACTATTTCTTTCCCGTAGCGCGGGAAACACTGTAAGAGTATTTTCAATTGGTTCCAGTACTTTTCTAATAAATGCATCTGGTCTGAACAAAACCCAATTGTTGATTCCCACTCATATAAATAATCAAACAGCTCAGCATGACAAACAAACAAACAAACAAACAAACAAAAACCAGCACAGATCAAGCATCCAGGAAAACATCAGGATATGAGGCTGATGGACTTCATTCGACTTCATGCAGCGAGCACCAGCCATGCAGGAAAACTTGAGTGTGATGACTGCGATTAATAATGATGATGATGATTTATGAGATGAAGGGTAATTCCAGGTGTTTAAGGAAAAGCGTGCTTCCCTTCCCTGAGCTGGGCAACAGAAAGACAAGGAGAAGTTTCCTTGGGAAAGTACAAAATCACATGGACTGTAAATGAATCCTCAGTAATCAAACCAAGGCTCTGATTGGAGGAGCTACAGCATTCACAGACAAGCATTGGACAGCAGATGATGGAGAATCACATCAAAACTTCAAGACGGCGTTAGCAATATCCAGCTCATGATCATAACAATTACAGATAACACTTTCTGATTGAAATGCACAGCCGAATGTTAACTCTCGTGCCCTCGAGGCGCCGGAGCCAATCGTAACCGGCGCGTCATGCAGGTCGAGCATAGCATGGCACTAACAGTGTACAAAGGTGTTTTACTCACAGGTAGTAAGTGTAGGACTGATAGGTTCTCCTGCCCAGTGAGGTGGTGGAGGGGTTTAAGCAGTGGAGGGGGATGAAGATGGAAGGAAAGAAAAAGTAAAAAATATTAATGTTCCGAAACGATAGAAAATGAACAGAAGCAGACATGGTGGCATTCGTGAGAGAGAGAGAGAGAAAGAGAGATGCACGGCGGTCACTGTGCAAACGCTGACCACATGACCAACCAGAGGGTCACATGACTTATATACATTCATATATGTGTTTGTGTTCGTCTGGGTGAATTAACAACTACTGCTCACAAGTCTGGAATCAGTTTAAGGTTTCTGAAAGAGTGTCAAGGCTGCGTTTATTTGATCAAAAATGCAGTAAAAATTGTGAATCATTATTAGAATCTAAAAAAGCTGTTTCTATGTGAATCTCTGTTAAACTGTAATTTATTTCTGTGATGCGCAGCTGTATTTTCAGCATCATTACTGCAGTCTTCAGTGTCACATGATCTTCAGAAATCATTCTAATATGCTGATTTGCTGCTCAAGAAACATTTCTGATTATTATCAATGTACTTTGGACTGGTAGTGTATAACACAGCTGTATCTGCTCTGCATTAATAAGTCTTTATGAGGACGATGTCGTGTGTGAAAGGTCAGTCAGAGCACAGATACATCACTGTACATTAGCAATAAAACCAACATTAATTCCCCTTCCTCAATGCATCTCCTCATTGTTCAGGATGTAATTAGAGGACTATAAAAACATTTGCGCTCTAAATGACCAGATGCAGCGTCCAGAGCGTGCTCTCGGCCTTAAATGAGGAATTAGCATGTTCTCCTCACATTCTAATCTAATTCAGCAAATTAAACCAAATAGATGCGAGAGATTCAATCGCGCTCGTTCATCTGATTAAAGCATATTGAACGGGATTCAATTAAAATGTCTGTGGAGTGATCAGCGCTCATCTCTCCGTGAGGGAAATCTGGTGAATCCGGTGTTTGGGATTATTGGACACGCGTGTGTGAAATAAAGCCGTCTCTTCATGCAAACGACTCTAGAGCAGCGCTTCTCAACCTCTTTCACTCCTTAAAAAATACAAATAAACCCCAAAATGATGTTAGAATGTTTTAATAGCATTTCAATGTATATTATGTTAATATAACTGCATTTAAATAATGCAAAGTTTTCCCCAGGGTTGAGAACCACTGCTTTATTCACATTCATACACACAGAAACCGTGCAAACGACCACATATCAGATGCTCCACAACAACATCACGAGTATTTCTATCATTTGTGCCAGTAGGAATTACACATTTCCAAATATTCCTTGCAAATATTGCATCTTTTAGTTTGGAACTAAAAGTAAAACTTTAAAAATAAATTTCGTTATTTAAAAATAGGGCTGCAACTAATAATCATTTTGATAATTGATTAATCTGTCAATTATATCTTTGATTAATCGGACACAAATCCAAATATTATTAACTATTAAAATGTAATAATTTTAATAAAAACTATTAATTTTACTCCAATATTAAAAATGTTGTCTCTGTTTTTCTTCACAGCACACAGAAGTGATTAATTGATAATCAAATTTGTTGTAGATTATTTTTTATTATCAATTATAACCGATTTTATTGATTAATTGTTGCAGCCCTAATTTAAAATTAACATTAACTGAAATAAAATAAAAAAAACTTAAACTTATTTTATTTCAGCTAGTTTCCAAGGCAACTGTTCTAATTGTAATTAGTTTAACTTGATGTACTAAAATAACTAAAACTAAAACTTAAATAAAAATTAACAAAAACTGTATGGACTATTTTTAAAAAACGCCAAAACAATTGCTACAATTTTAACAAAAAAATAAAATTATTTCAAAATTAATTCAAAATATTAATAAAACCTATCATACTATCTGAATTATATTAAAATAACACTCCGTAGATTCAGGTGTAACTTAAAGAACAAGTACCAAAATTAAAAGATTTGTAAAGTCAATGTTTCTCAAAAAAATTAAAACATTGGTTGTTGTCAAATCAAAATTGTGAACGTTTATAGGGATTTTAGTGTTAAATATTTTGTATTTATGTATTGATTTTTTTTTAAAATCTGCCCTGGGATTACAGATCAAAATTAGTCACCCCGACACATTTTATATTGATTTCATATATTACTAATGTGTATTTTCCCTGATTAAATAAATAAATGGAAATAGAATTACAAGAAAGCAGCAATAATAAACCTGCAATTATAGCTGAGTTGATGACAACAGACAAAACTGTGTGCGCTCACATTCACCACAGATGTTTAGATAGACGTGTGTGAGTTGCACTGTCTATAAACTGTATATAGTTCAAATTCATGACTGTAAATGACTATTATATTTACTGTAGTGGCTCTAAAGCTTTCTGGATTGGGCTGTTTTATATTCAGCAGGGCAGAAGGCTAATCTGGAGCAAGTGTGCGAGCTGGATATTTGCCGAAACTGACTCCGGATGACCCTTGATCTGCGGGCAGCTAATGTAAACTAGGCTCCAGCTAACGACGCACTTTCATCAGTCACACAATCACAGATCTACTGAGATTCCCTCGTCTTTTTGAGATGCAGGGTCATCGGGAGAACGGCTCTTTATCAGGCTATTATACAGCATTTTAACCAGGCTTATCAACATAATTAGATTAATAATTCAGTGTTGCATAGACAATGCGGATGAAAGGTCAGACGGAAATCGGAAGGAACATCTATTATTAATATCTGCGGTTAAACTCCAGACAAAAACACAAAGTCCTGATCTGACTGCGGATGAGACAAAAGTTTGGACACATCTGCTCATTTCTAATTAATATTAATGTCCAGGTTAGAATAATAGTCACAGCACACTGAAATAGCAGAGTTTCTTCCTGTTGGATTTCTAGGGAATTCATGCATTGAAAACACAAAATTTGAATTAGTTTTGGATAAAAGCATCAGCATCAGTATGAACGGAATCTAACACTAATGTATATGCAGATCAAAACATATGAAACTACATATGAAACACTGCATTCCAAAAATGAATGGCATAATTCATTATTAATTATTTGCATCAATTTGATTTTATTTAAAAATCATATTTTTTAAAATGCATTTATTTATGCATAAATCTTTTCATTGTGAAAACAATATTTATTCATTTTTAAAAAAAAGTAAAAACATGGTTTTTGCATGGAAATTGTTCAAATATGACTAGCTGTGGAACAAGCAATATTGAATCGGTTCAAATGTATGAGATTGAATGATATCATCAATTATTTTATGTTAAATATATAAACCTAGTTATTGTGTATTTAAAACACATTCAGATTATTAGCATTATTACAGAAACTTGCCCTCTTTCAATAATGTATGACTGACAAATATCAACAAGCATCAGATTAAGTTTATAAATAAAAGTGTTTGTTAAAACTGTGTAATCTGAATGAATAGAAAATTTAAATGCAGTTCAAAACTTAAATTTAGGCCTAAATACCGTATGTTTTGAGTATAATTTCACACATTTAAGCAGAGGTCTTTAGATGAAAAGTTCTTAACATAAACTGAGTCACATGTGTCCAAACTTTGGTTAGCGGCGGTGCTTTCCGATGTGTGTTGTCATCCTTAAATGTGGTAAAAATGGTGTAACCGATCATCTTCACTGTGTGTGTGTGTGTGTGTATGTGTGTGTGTGTGTTGAGGTTCTTACCGTTTCTTCATGAGCAGCACCACGCCGAGGAAGATGATGACGAAGAGCAGTATTCCTGCGATGACGCCGGCGATCTTCACCGTGTGGTCGGTCTGTTTCTCCGGCTCCACCGCGTTGGGTTTGTGTGTCGCCGCGCCTGAGATCAACCAAAGGTCATACAGAAGATGGTTTGAGGCAAGACACTACACTTCATGCACTGCTCAATTCAGAGATTTTGATCTATTTCACTTCATAACATGTCTTCATGCAGACGAGTTTGAAAGAGAACAATGAAAATACACATCAAGTGTTTATTCTATTGCACTTTATCTATTTGCGGTTGTAGATTTCAGTTACAATATATATCTTTAAAAAACATTTCTCCACTTTAGTAACACTTACACCAAAACTTAGAGTTTTATTCCTCTCTATATTCTGAAGGTTTTTACTGAGGGGTTTGTTCATATCTCATTCACAATGATTTATACAACATTTTACTCCTAAAAACATGGTGAAAATGTATTTGTTTTCTGTCTGTTGGCAGTATTTTCTGATTTATGGAGTGATAAAAAGATACTACCACAACCAAATTAACAATTATTCTGACTCTCGCACATTTTTCAAAACCTTCTCTTCTCTTCTCTGTCCTCCCCCCTCCTCCTCCTTCATCAACTCTTACAGCTGACGACTTTGCAGTATTCTTCATAAATAAAACAAGAACAATCAGCGGCCAATTCTCCACACCACGAACTGACAAACACATCATAACAACAAATACACACTCTCTCTTCTCCTCCTCTCCACTCTCGGAGGCAGACGTTTCCAAACTTATCCTTTACAATCATCCTACTACCTGTCCGCTTGATCCTATCCCCACTCACCTCCTTCAGGCCATTTCTGCTTCAGTTATACCTGCGCTCACTCACATTATCAACACCTCTCTTCACTCTGGTACATTTCCCACAGCATTTAATCAGGCTCGATAACCCCACCGCTTAAGAAACCCTCCCTAAATCCAGCACTTTTAGAAAACTACAGACCGGTATCCCTTCT